TTGTGGATGATCTAAGTCGTTACACAATTGTTTATTTTTTAAGACAGAAATCTGAGGCACCTTGTAAGTTCCTGGAATGGATTCGAGAGTCAGAAAATAAACGTGGGATGACAATCCGCACACTCAAAGTCGATGGAGGACGGGAACTTCTCTCACGAGAATTCTGGACAATCCTTGCATCACATGGTATCTTTCTCCAAATCTCTGTGCCATATGAACATGGTCAAAATAGGGTTGTGGAGCAGAAGATGTTAACAGTCCTTGATGTGGCCAGATCAATGCTTAAGGCATTCAATGTTCCAGTATTCTTTTGGGCCGAGGCCGTGAATACTGTGGTTCATGTGCAAAATATTCATCCTACAAAAGCAGTACTGGACAAAACACCATATGAAATTTGGACAGGTTTGAAACCATCTATTACGTATTTATGTGTGTTTGGATGTGTAGGATACACATACATTTCAGCTAAAACAAGATGAAATAAATGAGAAGATCGTTCAACAAGATGCATGATGCTTGGCTATAGTGAGAATACTAAAGGTGGATATCGGGTTTGGATTTTCAGTCAGAAAAAGGTGCTAGTTAGGTGTACTGTTTTCTTTTGAGAAGTTGTACCAGTGTACTCTACCTCGTCATTCAGCAATAAAAAAGGCACCAGGTATTTCTTACATTCGATTCTAACCAGAGGACATGGAAATAATAGTGATAAGGAAGGAGTATCAACTCTAGAGACTTCTCCAGCAGAACCACCACTACCTCTGGAACCACCACTGCCACTACCCCTTGAACAACCACCTGAGGATTCATTGCCATCTCAAGAAGTTTTGTCTCCAGCTATGGACGATAATGACTCTGAAATCTCAGAACGAGGTACTTTGCCTCAGAATTTTAATGAGTTGGATATTGCTCATGCAGATCTAGAGAGTAGTGGCTTATCATAGCCAAAGCAGGGTGAATCTCTAGATGCTCCAACACTGCCAAGATGTTCTCTCAGACCTTGGAAACCTACATCCTGCATTATATGTTATTATGCACAAGCAGCACAAGCAATTCACGAGCCAACAAACTTAAAAGAAGCACTCTCTAGACTGCAACATTTTCATTGGCGACAAGTAATGTAGGATGAATATCATGCTCAATTAGAGAATGGTTCTTAGACACTCATTTCACCATAGGAGGTTCCTTGCAAGGCTTCAATCATACAGTGTAAGTGGGTTCACAAGATAAAATATAAGGAGACAGGTGAGATCAATCGGTACAAAGCAAGGTTAATTGCAAAAGGATACACATGGCAAGTAGGAATTGATTATAGTGAGATTTTTTCACCTGTAGTTAAGATGGTTTCTATTTATTTTGTTTTTGCAATTGCTAATCACTTAGACCTTGAGATTGAGCAGATGGACGTCAAGAATGCATTTCTCATTGGCAAGCTGGAGGAACCAATGTATATGTAGCAACCTCCAGGTTTTGAGATCCAAGGGAAGGAGTGTTATATTTGTAAACTCCAGTGGTCCATTTATGGATTAAAATAGTCACCAAGGATCTGGTATAATACTTTGCACAAGTTTTTTTTAACTCTTGGTTTCTCTCGTGCAAAAGCAAATTGGAATTTATATTATTGTTTTCATGATAGCTCATTTATTCTCATGTGTATTTATGTTGATGATCTTATCATGGCTGGAAAGACAGCAAATCTTAAATGGCTTAAAGAACTACTCTCCAAACAACTTCAAATGACAGATCTTGGTAAAATTTCCTTTTGTTTGGGCTTACAAATTGTGCGTGATAGGAAAAGTCAAGTTCTAAAAGTCCATCAATATAAATATATCTCGAAGAATATGGTGGTTTCTTTACTGCACGTCCAACTCCGACTCCAACACTCCAATTCAACAAGCTCTCCAAAGCAGATCAACCATGTTCTGAGGGGGAGAAGAAGGAGATGGCTAAGCTACTATATCAAAACGTGGTTGGAGCATTGATATATTTAGCCACATCAAGCAGACCAGATATAGCTGCAGCTATTTCCAGAGTGTGCCAGTTCATGCAAAATCCCGGAAAGAGACATTGGTATGCAGTAGAGCAGATCTTTAATTACATACAACAAACTTCATCACTTTATCTCGAGTACAAGGGGATGGTAGGAGGAGAAATTGGATCAGGTGCACTTATACCATGTGGAATGGTAGATGCTGATCTTGCTGGTGATCTGGATGATAGGAGATCAACAACTAGGTACGTGTTCAAATTCTCTAATGCAGTTGTGTCATGGCGCAGCCAGAAACAAAGGATGGTGGCATTGTCTACTTGTGAAGCAGAGTACAATGTGGTTACAGAAGCTGTTAAGGAAGCTTTATGGATTCAACACTTGCTCCGAGATATCAGTTTTGAGATGCAAGTACCACTGAATATCTACAATGACAACACAACATGTCTTGGTACATCATGGGAGAAACAAACACTTCAAGATATTTCATTATTTTATCAGGGAGCGGATCGAGAGAGAAGAAGTCAGGCTCCCCACAATGAAGATGACTGCAGATTTGCTCACAAAGACTACAATTGAAGTCCGACAGTTTGAATGACTACGATGACAACTTGGACTAGTTTCACAGGCGATCTGATTAAAAGACATCAGATCGAGGGGGAGTGTTGGAACCAAGGAGAGATCAAAGCACAATCAAAGGAACTAGGATGTGTATATAAGGTGAGAAGTGCTGTACCGATATAGGTCAAGTACTATTCCTTTACACCTGTTCTATCACCAGAGCTTGGACTTTGTATTGTTGTTTATGCAATCTTCCAGCAGGGAGATCTCCGCAGGGCTGGGCTCATTTGAAATTCCAAGGCCCTCTATTGCTCCACAGATTTGGCTGAGCAGCGCCTGATCATTTGGGATGTGATGGAGCGTAAGCTTCCGTAGAGTTGTTCCAGCCTTGAAGAAGGCAGGGGTCAAGTATTCATTCTCATCTAGGGACAGCTCCCAGATCTTGCAGGCTGGATCTTGCAGCAGCTTCTCCAGGTGGGGCGAGCAATCGCATTGTTTAAGCTCCAGACGTTCTAAATACTTTGGAAGTGTTGATCCTGCTAAAGCATTTAATTTTTTGTCGTCACGCATAGGTAGAAAAAGCGTCTTGAGCTTGATTGGCATCCCCTTGTGCTTGGCAGCAGCAATAGCTTCATCCAAGCTGCGAATCACTTCCTCGCCAAAAACTATTAGATCAATTGCAAGGCTGCTTAGCTTGGACACAGCTGCTTCTAGAAACCCCTCCACTTTGTGGTAGCCCTCCCTCCACAGGAATACGTGCTCCAGAGTGTTGTCCTCCTGCAGCAGCAGCTCGAGCAAGCCTTTGAAGTCTTCTGAATGGATGTTTGCTGTTCTGTATCTCTGTTCCTTCAGCTCCCTCACACTCGACACCCCATGGCTCCGCATCTCAGCGAAAATGCTTCCCAAATCCTTGTAATCATCTATCCGGGCCTGCTTTGGCTTCCCCATAACTTCGATTCAGGCGCGGTCGCTTTGTTTGGATGGTTTCGAGCTCATCCACAGCGGGCTAGACAGCTTTTTGGTGGAGGGATTTGTTTAGAGTTTTTTTGCGGTACGGGGGACTGGCTTTCATGGCAGCGACTTGGGAGGTACATTTCTTGGAAGAGCTTGCTTGGATTTGGATCTAACGCGTCAATGTTATTGACTTGATTCTCTCGTGGTTTTCTTGCTTTTTTTTTTGGTTTAGAACATCCGCGACAGAGAACGGGGATACGCAAAACAAAGAAGCAAAGAAAAGCGAGTATATTCGTTTCACGTGAAATCATCGAGTGCCGTAGAGAAACGAAAAGATCTTTCTGGAAATTCTTTAGACCATATCCATTAAAGGGCTTTTTTTTATATTGCTCGAGGTTTAGAGGGTTTCTAGGGTTTAGCGATGGCGATCTCTCGATAGAGTGAGCGATCGCGGCACGGGGAAGAGGTTCGTTCTTCCATTTTAACACGAACCCGACAGAAGAAAACGTTTTAAGTACCTTCAAATCCTCGTCGAGCTTTCTTTCCTCCTTTCATAAAGAATCATAAAATGCATAACATAAAATGCAATAATACCAACAAAGGGTAAATAATTTTACTTCTCTGTGGTTTAGGGCTCGTGGCTCTGGAGTGGAGCGAATGGCGCTCGCCGGTGAGCTCCAAATGCACTAGCTCTCATGCTCCCGCCCAAGCGAGCTGATGGAGTCAGGGCCTACATTGCCACGGATTCCAGGGACGTAGAGGGCGACGATGGGGAAGTACTCTCCCATTGTTTGGGACCTTGACGACGGCAGGAAATCTGATGCGGCGTCGCCCTTGTCTAGATTCTCCGAGGCGGCTGCTGCTGGAGAGGATGCCTTCTTGGACTCGATCGACGCAGGCAGGAGCTCACCGCGGATATTGCCACAGCGCAAGGATACGAATCAAAGTGGTCGTCAGCAAAGTATCGGTAAGGAACTTCTTATAGTTAATTGACACGAGGCACATTCTTATTGACGGTACGATTCTTTGTGTCACATAAGCAATAATACAGGTTCTCCAAAACTGTATAGACCATGGAATAACTAATCTCGATCCAACGGTCGGCAACGGTGCGATCAACTTAACTGGCGCGTGAACGATGAGCATACACCAAATTACACAGCAATCAAGATAATGTTATACTGGAGATTGGCAAACCTGCTAGAAGGTATAGTCGTTTCAAATAGGTTGGAGAATAACCTATGCCTGGGAAACAACGATGCTTGACAAATCTGGATTCATTTGATGGCCTGGGATTGCACTGTCCTCAAATTTGGCCCGATGAAAAGCCAAACTGGTCAAAGAGTGATATCTAAAAGCGCATGGAGCGTGAGGGAGGGAGCGAGAAGACCCCAAACAAACTTGCAAATTTATTTGCTTCTTGTCTGAGCCAGCCAAAACAAGATAGAATAGATAGGATAGATAGATAAAAAGTAGTCAGAAATTTAGTAAAGAAGAAATCTTAGTCATCTCAATGAAAAATAAACCTCATGTGTGAGCATTTTTTACGTGGACGGGAGAGAGTGTGTACCTCTACATATATTTCTATATACGCCACCGTCTTCTATTCTATTTACCCGAAAATCTCTTGAACTTCTATCAGGCTGTGCTGCCTGCAAGGTGACGAGAGTGTCAAATACAGACTGAGATAAACAGCTAGCTTAGCTTACCTTTCATCCTTGGACACTCGGTAGTACTTCTCCGTTAGCTGCCGCTGCCCGATAAGTTGCGCAAATCTCTCGTCGTGGGTGATCACGATAAGCTGGAAGTTTTCCTGTCCTCGCCGCTCTTCCATAATCCTAGTGTGTCTGCTGGTTAGAGACTAGAGGCCAGGTTCGAAGCCCACCTTAAGAGCGCAGCTGCAAAGCTCTCAGCGTTTTGAGCGTCCAAGTTTGTCGTAGGCTCGTCCAGCGTCAGAATCCCGCAGTTGAGGCAAAACGTCTCAGCCAAAGCCAAGCGAATGATCAGGGCAGCCAGGACCTGTAAAACAGACACTACATTCAGCAAGCCGTGGAGATCATTCGATACCTTCTGCCCAGCACTGCAGCGGCCACGCATTTCGAGCTCTGCGCCTCCCGCCCTCATTACCACCTGTATCAAAAGACGCATCATCTGCACAAGAACAGCTAACAGTGCACCATACCCGATAGCTATAAGAACGAGTGCCAGTTCCTTCGGCGTCGGCTCTTATTTCGATAAAGTCGATATCTTGTCCCCTGTATGTCTGCTGCCAGAGCTCTTTGATTATTTTGTTGATTTCTTCCATCTTCATGGTATGGAATCGCATCAGGGCTCTGCAATAAAGCTCGAATCATCCAATGACATTAGCATCGAAAACAACGTACCGATCCAGTGCGTTATAGTATTTATCCAGATCCTTATTCGCCATTTCCATCGTCTGCAGCATAAAGAGGACAGTGAGGACCACAAGAAAAACAGAAAAAGAACTTCCACCTTAAGCTGTATAAGCTGGGCTCGATAACGCTTGTCGATATTTTTGTACTGCGGCTGCTTTAAGTCTGTTTTGTTCCTTGCTATGTTGCTTTCGTGCACCGCAATAGTTCCTTTGTGATGGCTCTCCTGCAAGTCAATTCAATAACATATACTCACAATCGTGGGTGAAACTCTTTACCTCGCCCATTAGATGCTGTTTTTCTTTCAAAGCTTTCTTCAGTTCTCCCTCGAAGTCCAATGTGTTTCCAATTGCCAGCATTCTTTCTTCCAGCGCTTTAATTTCCTGGATGCACTTCTGCTCCTCTGCGCAAAGCTTACGATATTTTATGTTGTCGGCAATGTTTCTTTCGATGACTTTCTGCTGCGCGAGCACGTTATTCACTCTCTGAACTTCCGCAAGGCAAAAGCTTTTTTTGGACTCTTCTTCGTCCTTCTGCGCCTGCAGCTCAGACAACCTTCTCTTCGCGGTCTGGACGTTGTGTGTTTTATGACGCTCCACATAACTGCACAGCATACAAAAAGAAATAGAATTACGCTAATGACGAAGAACAAGCATACTCTTTAATCTTTCCCCAGATATTCGTTAAGGAATGAACCTCTTTGTCGAAGTCGTTTACGCCCTGAGTGCTAACATCCTGCTCTTGTCTAAACTTTCTCTTAAGTTGATCGAACTCTTTTAGGTGCCTTTCTTTTTCTTCTGCTAGAGGCTCCAGCTGCTCCATTTCAAACTGACCACAAAAAGCAGAATGTTGACGTAAATTTTTTACCAGCAAACAAAATCAAACCTGAATTTCAGTGTCGATTTGATTCATCTGTTTAACCAAGCTAGCTTCCTCCTCCTTCAAAGCTTTGTTCCGTTCTAGCTTTTTCTCTAAATCTGCTTTCTTCATCTCCTCAGCATGTTTCCTCTGCTTGCAGTTTGCAAGATCGTCTTTCATGTAGTCATGTTCTTCCTTAAGCCTATCGAGCTTTCGATTTAATTCTTCCCTGCGCCAAAATAAACGAGAGAAAGTCAATGAAAACACGGTCCTGCTCTTGCTTACAGTTGTTTCTCGTGCTTTTCAAGTTCTTCTCCTACGTCATCTGGGGACCGCAGAGATGACTCAGGGTTAAGCTGATTTTCAAGCGTTCTGACCTCCCTTTCGAGGTTTTGAACGCTCGTATAAGCTTCCTCGATCGACTGCGCAGTAATTCGAAGCTCTGTTACCAAGCCAAGCTCGGCTTTGGACTGTGCTAGGAGACAAGATACCTGAAATAGCAGAAACAAGCAAGTTAGCTAGCTTCCAAACATTGAAGCGGAAAGAATTTACGTCATTTTGCGTTTCTGTACTTCTCTCAAGCTCCATTGTCATGTCCGAGATAGATTTCTCCGTAGCTGAAATTCCTTGACTCTCTAGCTTTTGGTATTCCTCAAACAACGGCCGAAGTTTATCCAGCTGCTGAAATTTATTATCCGCAATGCTGGTCAAGGACGCCAATTCATGCAGGCGTTGTGCAGTAGATGAGCGCTTTACTCGTTGCTGGAAGAAGAAAAAAATGAGTGCAGCTTTGGACCGGAAGACAAACCAACCTTGTCAACAAACTCGTCTTCCTCCTCAGGAGTGGCAAAAGGTCGTTCACAGCACGGGCATGCATGAGTTGCCCTTGCAATTCGCTCGAACGGGTCAAACATCCGCCGCATTCCGTCGGCCATGTCATGTTGGCTGCATTCATTCAAGGCCAACCGTGAGAAAGCTTCTTGTAGACCTTAAACAGACCTTTTGCTCGAATCTCTTGCGTCAGAGAGTTCGCGTAACTTTGATGGATAACTGCTGGGATTCAAATCCTGTTGAAAAAGACTGTAAAGCCTGCTAATCAAGAGCTTCCGTTTAGCTGCAACATCAAGTTTGAACTCGGTGCGTCTTTAACAATGATTTTATTAAACAGAAGGTCACCTTCTTTCTCTTCTTGCTGCTTCGCAAGTGTAGACTTTGCATCGTCAAGCATTGCGCGTGCCTGTGCAACTCTCATATCGGCATCTCGGGATCTATCAAGAAGCTCGTCGTATGCCTTAGAGATGTTGCTGCAAATATAAATCCGGTTTTAGACATTCAAAGGGTTTGCGCGTTACCCGAATGTAAGCTCCACATCTGACTTCACAGTC